CCCCAAAACCCCAAAACCCCAAAACCCCAAAACCCCAACCTATAAAAATAAGGTGAAATATTACTTTATAATATTTAGCAACATGAATTCTCCCAATAAACTTCAACCTAAGGTGTTTCCTAGTGCTGTCCAAAGGAAAGAGTCTAAATCATTGGACGATTGGGACATTAGCGATAATGTCCTCTCTGAGGCTTGAACCAGAGTCTCAAAGATTAAATCAGGCGTTCAAAGAGGTTCTGGAATTCGATTTACAGGAGATAAAAATTTTGCAAGTCACCATAGTCCCTGAATAAATGAAGCTGAGACCAGAAAACACTTGAAGGAAGAAGAAAAATCACCTCAATTTCATAAATCAAAGCTTAAAATGCAAAGTGTGAAATCAAATTCGAATTATAAATCATGCAGAAAGAACTCTAAAGATGTTTCGGAAGAACGTCCTCAGAGTTTAAAGTCTGAGATAAGTAGTCTGCTGCAGAAACTTATCAAGAAGAAGACTAAAGTCGGCTCTCCTTTACTTTGAAATCAGAATTCCAAACTTACAGAAGTGAAGAAGAGTACACATCTTAAGGGCAATTAACTGAACCTTTATAAATTGAAAAGTTTGAACAATATTCCTCTCGATTCACAATTCTGATTTTGGGGCGATTTTGTCATAGTGTGCTGGCAAAGCAAAATGTCTGAATAGTGATAATAATCTTTGATTGACCTTAAGATGTATACATGCAATGAGCATGTTCGCAGCTTGTCTCCCATCAAGGACCCCCAAGAAGAGGGCTGAGGCAACTAACAATCATTATTTTTGATAAAATCTTATTAGCCTGAAAAAGGATTCATATTTTAAGTTATTACAGTTTTAGTCTCTTATGAAAGGCTCGATCAATCTATATGGATTAGCCACAAATTTCGCTGGTGTTGGAGGTGTACTTCGTGATGGGGATACATAAGGCCTAAGAGAGTCACTCCTTCTTAGGGAAGAAATTTGGGAAAGGCCGAAATCTCTGGAGATTATGAGGAGGGATTAGGTTTTAATGGCTCATTAAAAAGTTCTTAGACTTAGCTGTTACAAGAGTGTTATTACTAAGTTCGACCCTGAATGTGAATCGAGTAATCGAATAAAAGAGAATGCAAGAATATAGAGCAATATTATTTCTTTAAGTAAATTAGCGTCCACTTGGTTGTGTATTTTGAAATAATCATGACTGCTAAATTTAAAATTAGATAATTTTTGTTCTCATTCACATACTTCGTCTCTAATTTTGTAGAAGAATTATTATAAGAATAAAGAGGCCTTAATTCTATTGTAAAACTACAATTATATCAGCAGTGATTCTCAAACACAATTTAGCGGTCTTGCTTATCAATTTCAAACAAAATTGCTTTCTTCTATGTCATAATGTTTCTTAAAGTAAGTTATTAATTTTTATATATGTTGTCTCTTGAAGTAAGTTCTGGTATGTCTAGTTCATCTAAATTTGGTTTATCTTCCCTTATGATACTTATGTTTTCACTACAACTAGTATCGAACCTAAATGCCAGAGATTGCTTCTCAATAAAAGCTTCAAAGTGTCCCCAAGGTTGTTCAAAATGTTACTATTAGAAGTGATATTGATATATCTGAAGTGAATTTGTGCCATTAACACTTTCAAATTTTTCCATGAGTCCTAGCGACTTAACAAGTGTAATACTAGATTTAGTATAATTCAGGTATAGTTTCAAAATATGTCACCGAATTTGGCAGATTTGATACCTGAAATGGCTACCAAACTGTGTTAGGACGAAGAATATTTAAATGATTATGGCGAAATCTCTATATTTCTAATTCTACTTAAAATGGAAAAGCATAGAAAATTTTTAGATCCGAGTCAAGCCAAAAAAATAGAGAGAACATTAGGCTTAACTCAATCTTAAAGTTCTGAGTTAGAACTCCGTCATTTATTAATTATCTTGTAATGACAATTGGAGGTAATATTTAATTAACTATATGTTTGAAAGTACTTCATTATAAGAATTATGGAAAGTTCTAATTTACTAGAATTAAACAATTTATCTGAATTCCCATTACTATATTCTATAATAAAAGCTTCAAAAGACCTAGCTCTAAGAGTAGGAATTGATTATTCATGCAGATATATGATCAGCCAGGAGTACTCTCTCTCCTTTTAAAAATTTGGTATTGTACTAAAATATTCATTTCTGTACTCTAAGTTTGTTTCACTCATATCTATGTTATCTAGCGAAATCGTATTTAACGGCAAGGATTTGAGAACTCCTCTTGAAGTGAAATATTATTGTACTTTTTAATGTCTTTTAGAAATCATTCAAATATTTTGCTAGAAAATTTGAGAAGTTTGCAGTCGACAGCAATTAGAAAATTCTAATCTTCATAAATCATCCTAAGATTGTAAGAATATATACTTAATTCATCATAATTGATTTTGTTAACTCTAATAATCTTGCATTCATTCATAATGGCAAATCTACTCAAGCTCGGCTTTCCCTTAAAATATTCAAAAATATTTTTTGCGAATTCTTAATATTTTTGGTGAGACCGAAGATTAGTAGAGCTGTGGGTGCCCCTGGGGGGTTGGGTGGGGAAGGTGGTACCAAGCCTTACATTATCCTCTCTTGCTGAATAAATGGCCTACCATCGGGTGCCTAAACGCCCCTAAATTTTCCAAAATCTCTGTAAAAAATCCATCTGCCTTAATTTTTAAGAAACCTGAATAACTCAAATATTTATGTTCGACGAGACATCCTCAAAGGCTATTAGAACAGTCCATTATTCAGCTAAAGTTTATTAAGAAGAGACTATAAAGCTAAGCTAGCTTCCTCTAGGCTGGAACAGTAAATCCTCACTCCTTGGAGAAGGAGTTTTCCAAACATCAGGAGAGGGGGAGGAGGCTCCATATTTACTAAGATGTAGTAAACATATGTGAATTTGCAAGAATAAGAATTTCATAAGAATTTTTAGATGAAAACATTCCTGGCAGACTTTGTTCTCACACTATACTGTTTTGGTACCTTCTTTAGACAGATGAATGGACTATGATAGAAAACATTCAGACATAGTTAAGAATTGTTAGCCTATTACAGCATTTTATTTTAATATTTCAATACCACTGATAATGCCAGGGGTTTTGGGGTTTTGGGGTTTTGGGG